TGAAGAATGTATAAACAAACTGTGGTACATACACACAATAAAATATTTTGCTACCATGAAGAATAACAAGGAAGTTGCAAGCCACTGCATAACATGGATGAAACTTGAGTGCATTATGCTGAGTGAAATTAATCAGTCACATAAGGAGAAATACTGCATAGGACCATTATTGTAAAAGCTTAAGAAAAAGTACCCATACTAAAAGGAGGGAGGAAGCATTTGCAGGTTACCGGGGTGTATGCGGGAGGGATAAGTGGAGGAGAGGAAGGTGGGGCACAGGGCAGGGAATAGACACACGATAGTTTGGGTCCTACTGGGGGCAATACACAAGAGGCAGAAGGGAATGGAAGAATAAGGTGGATAGGAGAATAGTTAGGCAGGTTTGCATAGGCTAAGTGGAACAGAGGTAAATGATGTATGCACATCCTTGGAACAACGAGGCTGTGGTATGCAGGGATTGAAGCATGGTTTGAATAGGTAAAAAAGGTGAAATAATGTTAAGATTCTTGGTTGTCCTTTGAATCTTGGTTTCCCTTGCCTAGTATTGTAAAATAGACATTTGAGGGGGAGAAAAAGGAATAGCCAGAAACACCACCATAGATAGCTTGTAAGTCCATCTTCAGCCTATAACTGATTGGAATACCTAAAATGGTGCTAGTACTTGCCCAGTAAAGTAGGATTCCTGTGGTTCTTTTGTATTTCGTAAGACCACAGGTGGAATCCTGAGCCCCATCCAGAATCTTCTAAGGAGGGAAATTTCTACTTGAAAGGATAAGGAGACTAGCCTGGAGAAGAACGGAAGATACTTTTGAATGAAGATACTTCCAAGACTGAGACTCAAGGGAATACTCAAGCAGGCATGTGGTCTGGCTGGTGACCACATTGGTCACTGATAAGGGGAAGTGGGGGGAAAAACAGCAATACAGTTATGAGCTAAGTCCGACCACGTTCAATAGACTCTTGTCAACCTGGGTCGAGACTTGGTTGGTCAGCTGTAGAGCAAGACCTGTGGACTCCTGGGCCCAGAGACAGGGACATGGCCACAGATGACTAGAGCAGAGAGTGAAGCATCCAGCTGACATGAAGTGAGAGGAGATGCACAAGAACACCCATACTTGCAGATAGTATCCACTTGATTGGGCTTCAATGGCTGGATGATCAGTACTCAACTAGCAGAAGAAAGAAGAAGAAAAAAAGAGAAATCCACTACAGTTTGATTAACTTGACCTATAATTATGGATGCAGTAGCTCAAAAGAGGAAGGGAATGAATCTTTACAGCGAGGATCATTTCCACCCCCTCAGCACACAGGGTTTACAAGGATGGGCAATTTAGACATTAACTACCTAAAATGGGGGCTACAAAGGCCAGAAGTGACTGGCTTACAAGCTTTCAAGAGGGAGCCTAGTTTCAGAGGGTGTGGGTGATGGTAGAATCTCCACTGAGTGGTTTCCAACTTGTCTGGATGGGGCTGATGAAAGAAGGGGATAAGATTCTTGTCATACAATAGGGACTAATTGCTATCAGGACTAACTATGAGTGTTAGAAATGTAAATGTGATGTTTTATAACAAAAACAGGGGAGTGGTTGATTTTGCAGTCCAGGAGCAGAGGTCCCTGGGACCATTAAGGAAGAAGAGCAGAGTGGGAGACCCTTTCCAGAGTAGCAGTGACAACACAGATGGAGGCAGAGATGATGATGTGGAATGATTGAGAGACTGGGGACTCTGGACTCAGGGAGGGTGAGGAACTGTATGCTGACAGCTGGGGGACAGTTTTGCACAATCTACCCTTTGGTTGTTTGATGATGCATGAAGGGGAATGTAATCATTGCACTGAATCAAAATATGATAGGATGAATTTAAATCTGTCTCCTATGTAAATGATGAGTTAATTTACAACAAAAACTTAAAAAATAATTAAATAAATTTCAACATAGTAAATTTCAACATGAAGCACTAATATTGAAAATGGAAGAAAGAAATCTTTTGAGTATTGCTAGTGGTTGTCAGTTTTTAATTATCTATGCAGTCTTGAAGAAAGTGTAGTTAAGATAGTGACAGCAAAGTTTATTTTCAATTTTAGAATGTGTTATTTATTTTTGGAAAGGATTTGACATTAAAATATGTACTTAGGTTTTGTTTTCTGAGAGCATCTGATAATTATTAGCAAGGGACTCTGCATTACCAAGAAGTTTGGTAGTTGCAGGGAAGGCCAACAGGATATTTAAAATTTTAAATAATCCACATGTGGGCAATTGTGAAAAATGAGTAAATTGAGAATATTTTATCTTAGTAAAAAAACATTTCTACTTAATAATTTAATTCTCTATATAATGGTTCAGCTTAAAAGAAAAACAAACTGGAGCAAAATTATACTGTTTGCAACTGACATAGAAAACAAAGAAATTAATTAGCCTTTATTTACATTCCATTATTGGTATGAGAATGTGATAATCATTGTGTTTGTTATTCACACAACCATCCCTAGAAATACATATAACTATTCTGCTTTGGAGTCCTGGTGTGGCACCAATGCATTGGACTGAAAGGTCAATTTGAACCTCAAATTCAGCAGTTCAGATGCACCAGATGCTCCTCTGAAACCCTATACAAGGTTGCTGAGTCAAAACTGACCACATGGCACTAACAACAGCAACATTCTGCTTTGCAGATAAGAAACCTGAGTACTAGAGATTAAGAGGCTGTCTTGACCAAACAACTGGTAGTGACAGATGATAGAACTGAATGCAGCATTGTTTGACTAGACAATCCTTGCATTTTCCACATAGAGCTTTTTTGTTGTTGTTTTTTTAATACCAGGTATTTTACTTACCATAGACATTTTCTTCTTCTGGTCTTTTCCCAAAAATGCAGTCTCGGAGTTGACGTAACTTTTCCTTAATGAAGCAAAGGGTAGAAAACACGTCAAAAGTTACAACTTTTCCATGAACCATGATGAAAATATCAACTGCTACTATTACATTGGGGAGCCTTGTGACTCCATATGATACATTGTTGTTGTTGCCATCAAGTTGGTTCCAACTCATAGTGTACTCGACTGCAGACCAGAAGGTCTGTGATTCAAGGCCTCAGGCACTCCACAGAAGAAAGATGAGGCTTTCTGCTATAATGAAGATTTAAAGCTTCAGAAACTCTATACAGGGTTGCAATAGTCAGAACCTATTTGATGATAATTAACAACTACCAAACTATTAACTTAGTACTTATTTAGCACTTATGATGGCCTAATCATGAATATTTTACATGAATTATCTCACTCCTCAAAACTTCACAAAATTAGTATCATCCTCTCCATTTTATAGATGTGAAAATTGAGGCACATAGAGATTACATAATTTGCTAAAATCACACATAATAAAGACTCATTGTCAACTCTAAAGCAAAAGGGTTGTATGATGAAAGTTTACTGTTTCCTTAGCTTATCTCTATTCTTAGTAGGGCGTATTCAACATTCAGATTTCAAGAACTAGTAACAGAAAAGCAAATGATATTGAACTCTTTTCACCTTCTTAACTCATTTGCAATTTTTCTGTGTTTTCTAAATATTTAACTTTTAACAGTTACTAAGTTTTTAACAGCCAGAGCAAGATGAGGCTTTCTACTCCCAAAAAGATTTACAGTCTCAGAAATCCTATACAAGGTTGCTATGAGTAGGAAAAGACTCAACTGAATTTAACAGCATCAAAAACAATATGGTTTAAGCAAAAAAGTAAATCAAGATACCATTCTATAAATCCCTTTTAAAATGGAACCTAGTAGAGAAAGTCTTTCCTCACAATTTCTCTTGAATCATAGAAATTAATTTTCCTAAATATATAATTGTTTTCAATGCTTTAAAGACACTCTTTCAGAATGGAACACATATCCCTTTTTTACGGATTGAATTGCAACTCTCCAATACATGTGATGAATTCCTGGCCATTGTACTTATGGATGTGTTCCTGATTTAAAATTCTGGTTTTTCTTTTGCTGTTTTCATGAGGTCATACCCACATAGACTTCATCCTAAATCTAATCCCTTCTGAGTTATAAAAAGAATAGAATATACATCGTTGTTAAGTGCTGACAAGTCAGTTCCAACCCATTGCAACCCTGTGTAGGGTTTCTGGGAGCAGCTGGTGAGCGTGAACTTCTGACTTTGTGGTTGAAACCAACTTTGTAGTCCAGTGCATTAGCCCACAGCATCACACCAGTACTCCAGAATAGACATGTTATTTTTGTTGTTAAGTGCCATTGAGTTTATTCCAATCCATAGTGACCCTGTATAGGGTTTCCAAGGAGCAAGTGGAGAGTTTGAACCACTGATCTTGTTGTTCAAACTGACTTTGAAGTCTAGCATGTTAACTAACCCACAGTGCCACACCAGGACTGCAGAATAGTCATACAAAAGGGAAAAAGAATGACAGAAAATGAGACATGCATCTAGATGCCGAAGAATGTCAATGATGGCTGGCAATTACTTGAAGCTGAAATAGACAAAGAAGGACCTCTCTCTACAATTACATCCTGAATTCAGACTTCTAGCCTTCTGAACTGTGAAAAAATAAATATGTGTGCTACCCATAAGTGATAAATGTATTACAGCAATCCTAGGGAGTCCTAGTGTGGTGCTGTGTGTTAATACGTCAGACTGCAAAGCTGTTTGAACTGCAAGGTTGGCAGTTCAGGCTCACCAGCTGCTCTTTGGAAACCCTATACAGGATTGCTGTGGGTCGGAACCGACTCAAAGGCACTTAACAACAGCAACAACAGGTACCCAAGGCAGAATTTAGTAGCACAGAGTAAGAGTTCTACTTTAATACCAAAATTTGGAGGTTAATTTTTAATTAGATAAGGTGAAAAACCAGAGAAAATTTTATGAACTTGAGAGGAAAGCCTTAACTTGCCTTAAAGAGATTGTTGGCAGAACTATAGGACACTAAGAGCAATTCTGATAAGTGGTCAGAAAGGAATTAGAAATGTTAAGAAAGCTATTGTGATTGAATGTTGTTCAAAATACGGACATTAAATGTGCTTCCGTTAAGGGCTTAAAGGAAATAATAAACATGTTCTTAGACACTATGAAAAGGTGATGCTTATTATAAGTAGCAAAATACTTCTATGACCTATGTTAGAATGGTTTTTGAAAGTTGCTAAGTGCTGTCAAGTCATTTCCAACCCATAGCAACTCCGTGTAGGGTTTCTGAGAACCTGAAAGGTAGAACTTGTAAATAATGAACTTGGATATTTTTCTGAAACTTCTAAGCAAGATATTAAAGAGTAATATAATTTCTCAGCACTGCTTATAGTAAAATGTGGGAGTAAAGAGATACATTGAGACACAAACTATAAAAAGAAAATAGAAATTGAAGATTTGGAAAACTCTTTAAGAGTCCTGGTGTGATGCTGTGGGTTCATGTACTAGACTGCAAAATCAGTTTGAACCACAAGGTCAACAGTTCAAGCTCACCAAATGCTCCTTGGAAACCCTATGTATGGTTGCTATGGGTCGGCACCAACTCAATGGAACTTAATAACAACAACTATAAAATTTAAGAGAGTTTGCCTTAAAATGAACACCAAATGTGACAACATCAAATTTTACTGAAGAGATTAGGCCTGTGACTGATATAACTAAACAACAACATAAGTATAGACATCACTTTAGGCTGAAAGAGACAAAAGCAGAACAAAACAAATCTGCTACTGGAATTCTATAGGCAGAAAGTGGGCCAATGGAGCTACATGATTCTAAACATCTGTTGTCCTCCAGGAAAAGAAAAAAGAAATGCCAGGAGCAGTACTATCAAAAGGAGCATGGCAGAACAGGAGTGAGACTTCAATGGTTTCAAAGGATAGAGTCATCACTCACTAAGTTTCATAGAGTAGGACCACTGTCAACCTGGTAGTAGAAACTGGGCCTTCCTTTCTGGCAGATCAAGAAAATGAATGTGGGAAAAACATAACTTTTTGGTAGCCAAGGGGTGGAATGTTATAGAAAAAATTGTGTTCTCCCAAAATATATGTTGAATTTTTAGTTCAGTACATGTAGATGTGATTTTGTTTGTAAATAGTTTTTTTTTTTTTTTACTTTTGTTATGTTGATAAGGTAGTGCTAGTGTAGAGTGGATCCTAAACAAAGTCACTTCTGAGTTACAAAAAGACCAGGATAGACACAAAGACACAAACCTTGAGGAAGACAGATGCCATGTGAGAATCTTATACAAGCTAACAAACACCAAAGAATCAAGAAATTCCCAGAAATACTGACAAGGAAGGAATTCATGTGGCAAAGAGCTCTGGTAGCGTAGTGGTTACGAGTCGGGCTGCCAACCTCAAGGTCAGCAGTTTGAAACTACCAGTGGTTCCACGGGAGAAAGATGAGGCGTTCTGCTCCCGTAAAGATTTACAGCCTCGGATACCCTATGCAGGGTCACTATGAGTCGGAGCCGACTCCACGGGTACTTAACAACAACAACAACAACAAGACCCCAAATTAGACTTTTAGCCTTTAAAATGTGGGACAATAATTATATATAATTCAAAGCCATCCACTTATGGTGTTACAGAAGCACTTGGTAACTAAAGTATCCTTCTTTAGGAATTCTGGGATTGTCAGTAGGAACGAGGAACCAGAAAGCCCAGTTTTCACCTTCTCAATCAACCTCATCTTAACTCCAGGGATTTTACATAGGTTTTCATTCTTACAGAAGCTCTTTGATAATTAACTCTGTGTGACATTTTTCTCAAAGTTTTATAAGATAATACCTGACCAGTTTTAGTATAATTTTACAATTAGCTGTGACCGATTCATCCCCAAGATATAGGTAAATGTTTTTCTAACTCCAAGAGGAATATTGAAAAATGTATGGGAGTATGTGAGAGAACGAAAGGAGGAGGGAAAAGAGTAAGTGTTTATTTGTTGGAGGAATGAAGAAGGAATTTTTTTAACTCCCCATTTCTCTATCCCTCTAGTCCCTAAGTAACTATGAATCTACTTGTCTCCAAGTGGTATGTCTATTCTACATAATTCGTATTAAAAGGATCATACAATATTTGTCCTTTGGTGTTTGACTTAATTTGCTTAGCAAAATGTTTTCAATGTTTATCCATGTGGCAACATTATCAGAACTACTTTTCTACCTATAACTGAAAAATATTCATTCATATATATGTGAATATATTCACATATATAAGAATGCACACACACACACATATATGTATATATATATATATGTTGTTGTTATGTGCCATGGAGTCAGTTTCGACTCATAGTGACCCTGTACAAGGTTTCTAAAGCTGTAAATCTTTACAGGAGCAGAAAGCCTCATCTTTCTCCTGTGGAACAGCTGGTAGTTTCGAACTGCTGACCCTGAAGTTCATAGCCAGATTCATAACCACTACACTACCAGAGCTCCTTATTCATATATGTGTGTATATATATGTACATATATATGGGCTTCAAACAGTTAATGAAAAATAGAATTAGAATATAATGTAATATTTCCATGAACTGTTGCCACAACACCAGATTTATGCTAAGATATAGGTGGTTACAAACAATGTGTGATAGGAAAATCCTCTTGCCTATTCGATCTCCCACCTATGTGCCGTTTGTCTAGAATTTCACTTTTGATGAATTTTTATGTTGTTACAATTTGTCTTTCCAAACACTGCCTTTTAAATAAAAACTGTCCCTTAGGAAAGGTAGCATACTAAGCTAGCATTAATTATTTATACTTAAGTGTCAATTAGCTAATTAAATGTGTTTACTCAAACAGCTACCTGAGAATTAGAATCTTAAAATAGTAGAGATTTCTATTATGAGAAGGGGGAAAATGTTGGAATCATTTTGGAGTGGGAGGGCTTATGTGATAGAGAGAATTTGGCCCTAGTACTTTTCATTGAAAGGTGTCAAAAAGTGTATTTGGTATATTTTGTTTTTATGAACATCAGAATTCCTTATACCCCTATACATAAATTGCATTTATAGAAGACATACTAATTTGAAGTGAATACTCTACATACCCTGACTGACCTTTTTATATATATGATCAGACCGACCTCACTCATCTAAAATATTAAAATAATGGGATACTGAATATCGTTTATGTTTTTGTTAAATAAATTTAACAAATAGATGAAACATGTTATACACATTTTCTTATTGTTATTACTAAGTGTCATTTAGTGGGTTCTGACCCATAGCAACTCTGTATAAGATTTGCAAGGAGTGGCTGGTGAACTTGAATCGCCAATCTTGTGGTTCATGCCAACTTTGCAGTTCAGTACATTAACTCCCAACACACACCAGGACTCCATTTACACATATACACATATCTAAAAAGTTCACAGTTTAAGAGAAAGATAAGAATATAATTTATTACATTTCATTTAAGATTATTACCTGATGTGATATTAATAGCTTTCTTATTCCTTCTAAATCTGGTGTATATGTCACACACTTGCAAGGACAACCTTGCAAGATAATGCAGTATTAGCTTTGATACACTAAATACCAGGACCAAGCTCATCAATGGTTTGTTGTTAAGTGCCATCAAGTCAGTTCTGACTCACAGTTACCCTGTCTATTGGGTATCTAAGGAATAGTTTGTGGGTTTGAATTCCTGGCCTTTTGGTTAGCAGTATATTGCATACTCTATAGTACCTAACCAAGACTCCCCATCGATGGTTTACAATCATGAAATATGGGTATTTTACAACCTTTAATTGGTAGTTTGAAACCATCTTGATTATGGCTAGTCACAAACTAATTAATGGTTAATATGTCACTGTGAGTTAATGCACTGGCCTTCAAAATCGGTTTGAACCACAAGGTCAGCAATGCAAACTCAACAATTGCTCCTTGGAAACCCTAAACAGGGTCTCTATGGGTTGGAACTGACTCGATTTCACTTAACAACAACAACAACAAATTAAGGAGTAAATATTTTAAAGAAGTTAGGAGCTGCAAAAGTGAGGGAATGATTTAGAAGGGATTTGAATCAATCTTACCTGCTGAATAATTTCCAGGCCACTCTTGCCCATCTGCCAGTGTTTAAATTTCTCCAGTGCTTCATCCACAGACAGTTTCCCATTCTTGACACTCTCTTGCAGAAGAATGAGCTCTTCCTGCCCAGCAGTCAGACAATCCTTTAGAGTGGATAAAACTTGATTCTCCATGTGGGCTCTATCTATAACAGGAAGGAGAGGTGTTTTAACAGGAGATCAACATATGGATACCTGGGATAAGTGAAAGTGGAGGGAGGAAGGTAAAAGAGTATTCTGAAAAAGAAAACAAAAAAAAAATCAGTGTTTTCTTTTTTTCTTTTTTTGTTCTTAACTATACATGAACGATTACAAAATAAATCATTGCATGTTTTTATTCATATTTTTTTCTTATGGATGGTGGTTCCTGTGCCTCATGTCATGGGGTTTAAATAATGCATCTCATTACTTGTTGTCATTGTTGTTAAGGGCCCATTGAGTTGGTTCCAACTCATAGCAACATCGTATATGGCTTCCAAGGAGTGACTGGTGAGCTTGGACTGCTAAACTTGTGGTTCAAACCATCCTTGAAGTCCAGTGCTTATCCTACAGCACCACATCTCATTACTAGAAGACATCAAAGAATTAGAAGAAAATGAACAGAAGCAAAAGTTGATCCAGACTGCATTAGTTCTGAACAGTAGTTTATGTTTTTTTGTGAGGATTGAAAGAAACCATGTATATGAAATACTTAGTATAATTAAGTCCTGATGTAGTGCTGTGGGTTAATGTGTTGAACTGCAAGGTCACTTTGAACTGCAAGGTCAGTGCTTTAAGCTCACCAGCCATTCCTAAGAAACCCTATAAAGAGTCACTATGAGTTAGAAAACACTCGATGGCACTTAACAATAACAACAACACAGTGGCTGCCACCCTATAAGATGAATAAAGGTTAATTATATTATGAGTAACAAATATTTGTGAAATAAACGTAATCTCTCTAGCTTTGGGAAAAGAGATTTCAGCCAACATCCAAACATCACTAGAATTTTGTTGCTGTTGCTGTTAGCCGCCATCTAGTCGCACGGACTCCTAATGATGTTATGCACAACAGAATGAAACACTGTGTGAATCTAGTAACCATTGCTATGCTTGAGCCCATTGCTGCTGCCACTGTTCCAGTCTATCTTATTGCAAGTCTTTTTTGATGATGAATTCAACACCATTTCTGTTCAATTTGTCATTCCTGGCATAGTAAACCATATAATTGTCAGATTCAAAATGGTCAATACTAGTCCATTTCAGCTCAGCAACATCTAGGATATTCAGCTTCATGTGTTCCATTTCAGTTTTTACAATTTTCAGTTTTCTTAGATTCATATTTCATACATTCCATGTTTCCTTCATAACGGATGTCTACAGCTGCTTCTCCTCTTTATAAATTGTGTCCTATGAGCAAATGAAGGCCCTAAAAGCTTTACTCCATTCACATCATCACAGTACTTTGAGAAGGCAGCCCTTCCTCAGTCTATTTTGAGTGCATTCCAATTTAAGGGGTTCATCTTCTGACACTATGTCTGACAATATTTAGGTGCTCTTCATAATGTTTCAGTATTCAATTTTCTGGTGCTGGCAGTATTCCAATGCTATTCCAAAAGTTTTCTGTGATAAACTACTCAAAAGTAGTATGTCTCTTCTTCTTCATAGTTTGGACTGATTTCAATATTTTCTTTGTACCAGATTGTGTACAAAAATTTTTGTAAAATGGACCAGCATGCTTTTTTTGACGTCATATGATCTCAGGGTTATCACAGACCCTTATAATCAGCAGACAATTTACTGAACTTCTGCTATCTGTCTAACTAAAGGATTAATTTGAGTTTTTACTTTCTCATTTATGTTTTGTCCTTTCATCCAAGATGCTTATCGTACTATCTTATGAAGGAGTGGGTCACTCAGCAGCAGTACATGCCTTAATGCATTGTCAAATTTAAATATGCCACTAGAATCTAGAATGAAGGTACAAGCAGTGCTTCTTACTATATGAGTACTAATGTGTTTATACTGGAGAAATCTGCTCATTTTTGGTGGCCTTTCTGCAAGGAAGAAATAGGTAAACTAGAGAATGTGTAGACCAGTGGGTTTGGGAAATGGGTTAAGTATTCAATTTCTATAGTAATAAGGATTTGTTGATAGAATTAGGATTGGCTAATCTGGAAAAGAGTACTTGATAGCAGATTACAGGGTAGCTATGGATCGGAATCAACTCAAATGGCACTTAACAACAACAAGCATAGAATAATGGTGTGGCACTGTGGGTTGATGCACCAGATTGCAAAGCCATTAGAATTGCAAAGTCAGAGGTTCAAGCTCACCAGCTGCTCCTCAGAAACTCTATACAAGGTCACTGTGAGTCAGAACCAACACGGTGGTACTTAACAAGCATAGGATAGGAATCTCTAGGTGAAGCCAAGGCTAACTGAATGCTAATTGAAGGGTTGGAAGTCTGAACCCACCTAGAGTTGCCTTGAAAGAGAGGTGATGAGATTTGCTTACGTAAGGTCACAGTGGTGAAAATTCTATGGAACACAGTTCTACTCTGAAATACATGGGGTTGCTGTGAGTCAGAATCAAATTGACAGAGATTAGTTTTGTTTTTATGAATTTCAGATACAGGCAGTCCTGGAATGACTGCTAATGTCTTTCTCAATTTTGAAAACTGAACCTGTTTTTGGTTTCGAATCTTGAAACAGGGATACTGAAAATGTACCTTTCTGTAATGATTCACATGCAAATAAAATAGTTCCATAGCCAATCATTCTGATTCCTACAGCAGCTTTCTTGTCCTTTATCTTCAGAAGTTCTATTCCTCTTGAATTAACAAGATGTCACCAGATTCTGTACTCTACATACTTTCCTTTAGGAGTTATGGACCATGAAATCCTTGGGGAATAGGAAAAGCACAAGGCAGCCAGAAGACTAACTGGTTCAACAGCCAAAACCACAGATAACAATTGAGATCTTGCTTCTGTATCCTTTGTTTTATATAGACCTTCACACTCAAATTCAATCCATGAAAGGCAGTTTGCAGTAGAATTCTATGAGCCATAGCTACTGGAATGTGTAGATTTCACATCATTATTTAACAACTATGCAATTTACCTATCATATCACTTGTTATCCTTTTACCCAAGTGTAAATCCATTTATTTATGTGGAGCAATCCAGGCAGCTGGATTTTCTGCTGTGTGGATGTTATCTCAAGAAGTTCTCCCTCTCCCCCTCCCCCAAAAAAGATATAAAATTCAATTTTAATGTGCAAGTTTGTATGGATTCACAAAACACTGATTTTATCATTTTATCCATATTCATCTCAATGGACTTTTCAAATTATATTAAAATATAAATAGTGACTTAGATAGTTGTGTAGAAATAGCCAAAGAACAAATTAGGAGGAAGAGTAGAAATCTTTGCTATCAAGCCCTAAAATTAGGTACTTACAGATGGAATTATTTTATATATATCTGTTTTTATTTCTTGTTTTTGTATATTTTACACTTAGAATGAAAACATTTTGTCTTCATAAATGACTGTTAGACATGAACAAGTAGCAAAGATCAATGAGTTAGTTGTATTTCTAACTTTCCTTCCAAGGGCAAAATGGTGGTGGTAGTGGTGTACGGTGGAGTTGGTTCTAGACTCATAGAGTCCCTTTATAGAACTTCTGAGGCTGTAAATCTTTACAGAAGCAGAAAGCTTCATCTTTCTCCTGCTGGCATCTGGTAGTCTCAAAGTCCAGACATAGAGGTTAACAACCCAACTTGTAACCACTATGCTACCTGGGCTCCTTAAGGACAAACTAATCAAACAAAAATGTGTAACTTGTAATCATTTGGTAGGACTATAAAACGATTTTTTTGCATCTAAATTACTATTTGATGAGGAAAAGGAGGTCATTTTTCTTTCCTCCCCAGTTTTATAGTCCTTGTTATTGTGTTTTCAGATGAGTTAATATGAGTTTAACATACTTTTCATACGAAAACATTTGTCATGTCTCTCCTTGGAAAAGCTTCAAGACAGAGTATAGTTTTCAAATTGCAGTACAGTGAAGTCACTTAATAGGCCTCTTGTAAAGGAGCTCTGGTAGCGTAGTGGTTATGAATCAGGCTGCGAACCTTAAGGTCAGCGGTTCAAAACTACCAGCCGCTCCGCGGGAGAAAGATGAGGCTTTCTACTCCCTTAAAGATTTACACCCTCGGAAACCCTGTACAGGGTCGCTATGGGTCGGAACCGACTCGATGGCACTTAACAACAACAATAACAACCATGGTCTTTGTAACTCACACCAAATCATTGGTAGTTGTTTTTAAGTGCTGTTGAGTCAATTCAGAACCATAGTGACCCTTCCGAGGAGCAGCTGGTGAGCTTGAACTGCTGAGCTTGCAGTTCAAACCAACATTGTGCCACACCAGGTGGGACTATGCAAACAGGATGTTGTTGTTTCTGTTAAATGCCTCCAAATTGGTTCTGACTCATAGTAACCCTACATAGGGTTTCAAAGGCTTTAAATTGTTGTAGGAGCAGAAGCCTCAAATGTGGGTATTGGTTAGTTTTGCCATCCTGCCAGGTATACAACAGTCATATCAGAAACAGGAAGAAGGATTTCAAGACCATCAAGAAAGAAGTGCCATGAACAGAATGTGGAGGAGAATTGGCAGCAGAGGCAGTGGTATGTTGTTGTTAGGTGCCGTTCAGTCAATTCCTACCCATAGCAACCCTGTATAGGGTTTCGAAGGAGAAGCTGGTGAGCTTGAACCACCGTCTTTGCAGTTCAAATGACTTTGCAGTCTGACACATTAGCTCACAGTGCCACACCAGAGGCAGTGGTATTATTGTTGTAGTTAGGTGCCATCGAGTCGGTACTGACCCATAGAGACCTTATGCACAGCAGAACGAAACACTGGCAGTGGTATGGAGAGAGAATATTGGCTTCCTGACCCAAGGACAAGTGACTTTGGGAAAAATGCTGACATGCAGAATATGTTGCCTTTGGGGCATTTACTGACAAAGTGTTACAAATAACACTTGCAAATCAGGGCAGAGGCTTATGTGCTGCAAGGCTAAGAGGTCAATTTCTAAAGAGGGGAATGCCTGCAGTATGACTAAAAAGAGGCACTTCTGCCTGGAGATCTTGGAATTAAGAGTAT